ATTGGTTTAAAGGCTACGTCTCGTGGCGTAATGAGCACACGGGCTCCTGGTTTGGGACAGCCCTGTGTCAGGCGCTTATGAAACACTCGCACTCCTATGAGTTGCACCAAATCCTCACTTATGTAAGCCGTGATTGACTCTTGTATTAAACGACTGTAAATGCAATTAAACTAAACGACTATTTGATTGACTAATAAAGACCTCGAATTTGGTGAACAATAAGACGACAACCGATGGCGAGAAGCAAGTGATGGAACACTCGTACCGCGGATGGAAAAACTGTTTTTATTTTAACCCCGGCGTCGCTGAGTCCCGAGGCTCTCCCCTTAGTCCCAACTGATCACAAGTTATCACTAATTATTTGCTCAAAACAATCGTGTATTGAGTGTTAACTTATCGCAAATTGTTAATTGCTTTCTGAATATATTATTCCGACTTAACATTAAGTGCCATTAATTCAGTCATTAAACTCTTCCATAACATAATGACAAAAACACAACAAATTGTGATTTATATACAAATTCCATAATTGGTTTAAAGGCTACGTCTCGTGGCGTAATGAGCACACGGGCTCCTGGTTTGGGACAGCCCTGTGTCAGGCGCTTATGAAACACTCGCACTCCTATGAGTTGCACCAAATCCTCACTTATGTAAGTCGCGATTGACTCTTGTATTAAACGACTGTAAATGCAATTAAACTAAACGACTATTTCATTGACTAATAAAGACCTCGAATTTGGTGAACAATAAGACGACAACCGATGGCGAGAAGCAAGTGATGGAACACTCCTACCGCGGATGGAAAAACTGTTTTTATTTTAACCCCGGCGTCGCTGAGTCCCGAGGCTCTCCCCTTAGTCCCAACTGATCACAAGTTATCACTAGTTATTTGCTCAAAAAAATAGTGTATTGAGTGTTAACTTATCGTAAATTGTTAATTGCTTTCTGAATATATTATTCCGACTTAACATTAAGTGCCATTAATTCAGTCATTAAACTCTTCCATAACATAATGACAAAAACACAACAAATTGTGATTTATATACAAATTCCATAATTTATATCGTATTATACTTACAATTTTATGAAATTACACTTAAATTATTAGCTATTATTATTATTATTATTATTATTTCCATTTATTACAAGTCTTTCATACGTTAATTAATTTTAAGAGTTTATCATTAATTAACACTAATTCTATATACCGTATTAAGTGTGGAAAAATATTTTATTTTAAATTTGTTGTAATTTAATATTTTTATTATTTAATAATCCAAATGAATTGTAATTTAATATATTTTATATAAAACTGAGTATCGCTTTGGGAGGGCATTAGAGCTCATCCCTGACCGTGTCTTCGCTGAAATCGTCTAAAATATTTGGCACTT